ATTTGGGTTCGAGCTTATCAAGTTGAAACCTTTTGACATAAGTGTTGCAACCCCAAACTTTAAGAAACGACAGCTTCAGATTCTTGCCAAACAATGGTTCATACGGTGTCGTCTCAACAGATTTAGACGGTGCCCTATTTAACGTGAATGCAACTGTCTCTAATGCATAACCCAAAAACGACAGTGGTAAATCAGTAAGAGACATCATAGATCGCACCATATCTAATAAAGTACGGTTACGACGTTCAGACACACCATTATGTTGTGGTGTTCCAGGTGGCATGAGTTGTGTCATGGAATTGTCACGGCAGATGTCCTTAGTGTCAGGACTTAGTCGTGAGGCCAACGCATCTATGTGGTAGCTTGAGAGGGGTTGAACGGAATCGAGAGAAGCAACACACAAGACAAGGGTTTAGACAGCTTCGGGACCCAGGAAACATCATCCGGTAACAACCCTACATGTTGTTTGTGGCTAGGTCTCATTATCATCGTGAGGGAGTTGCCGTAAACCGACTCTCCCAGTTATGCCTAACCCTTAAGATTCTCCCTCTCCCTCTTGGGGTGCCCTACCCCTCCTTATACAATTTGAAGGGGCGGGTTACATGTAGAGTCCATCTCGGACTAAGACTTAAACTATTTTGACTTCCCTTCATGGGCTTCTTAATGTCTTGTGCTTGTTAACCCCAGACGACTCTGTCTACCGGGTTATGACTGTCTGTTGGGTTATGATTGTCTGCTGGTTTATGATTGTATGCCGGTTTATGATTGTCTGTCGGTTTATGATTGTCTGCCGGTTTACCATCTGACTTACCATCTGGCTTAACATCTGTCGGGTTATCATCTGACTTAACACCTGCCGGGTTATCATCTGGCTTAACACCTGCCGGGTTATCCTCTGACTTAACACCTGCTGGGTTATCATCTGACTTAACACATGTCGGGTTATCATCTGGCTTAACACCTGCTGGGTTATCATCTGACTTAACACCTGCCGGGTTATCATCTGACTTAACACCTGCCGGGTTATCCTCTGACTTAACACCTGCCGGTTTACCAAGTCCCAGCCGGGTTATAACTCCAGCCGGGTCATACCGCAGGGCATATCCCCGACATTAGCCCCCAGTTTAATTTGGATTTATCCATGTTAAACTGATCCTGATCATCCTTAAGTCCTTGTCATTTCCTTCTTCTAGAAAATCCGGGTTAATAAGCCAGCTTCATAATCAATTTGCTGACATTGGTTTGTCACAAAGAAATATTGTGAAGAATAATTCATTTGACTTAGCTCCCAATGTTTAACAAAAATATTGGTCCTTGAAATCCTCATCTGATCTTCAGCCGGCTTAAGGATGTAGAACTTGCCAGTTTATAAATATTGATGGCACCGGGTCATAATTGTAGTTAACCTCAAGCTTGAAAATATACCTCTTATATGCCTATCAATTGTAGCCCCCAAGTCTTAAGAAGGTAGCGTAGCAACAGCTTTAGACTTGCTTCAATATAAATGTCACAAACTTGAAGAAATCCAGGTTGTTCATCTCAATCACTAGTCAGAACTGAGTATTCCACATATGTAGGCCCCAAGTGCCGGGTCATTATGAAAATAATGAGCAGGGACTTTGAAAATATGATCATGTGGACTTTAACAGCAACGTCTAACCTCCAAGGGTCGGCTCAGTAAGATAATACTGAGCTGGGACTTTATATATACTTCATTGAAAATAACATCATATGATGTAACTCCCATCATGGGGCTTGAACCCACGTCCACAAGGTTAAGAGCTTTGTGCTTTACCAATTGAAGAGTGGACCCTTCAATATAATGGATGAAGACTTGTGTACCTTGAATTGTTGACAGGTGTAATTGGTAGCCCCCAAGGGCCGGCTCATTATGATGTGATGAGTCGGGTCTTCAATAAGGCTAGTAAAAATGACTATGCATTAGCCCCCAAGTGTCATAGTGCATGCTTGCAGCGACAAGAGACTTGCATATTTGATGTAATCTCAACTTGAATAATGTAGCCCCCAAGTGCCGTGTCGTAAGCCTGCAGCGACTCGGGACTATTCCTTCCATTGTAGAATAAATCATATCCACCGAAAAAATAATATCTATTGCGCTAAAGCGACTTTGAAAACCTCAATCATAATACTGCTTATTGATAACCATAATAATAAAAATCCAGCCATGTTGGCTATTACAGATGTGAATAATATAACCCAATGATTGATAAGCGCATAATTCCAATGGCGCAATCCAAATATATACTGGCGGCTTATAGTCGAAAGCCAGGCCGGGTTAATAAACACCGGATGTTACCTTATCTCATACTGGCGACTTATAGTCAAAAACTAGGCCGGGTTAATAAACACGGGATAAATTATACTCATAAAGCATTATAAACCTAAAAAAGGCAAGAAGGATTTAAATAGTCATAATTGTGGTATTGCACCGATCAAGAGGGTTTAAGCTTTGTTTCGAATACGACCAAAGCCCCCAAGTGATTTCCCTAGTGGCCTTATGCCTATCAAGAGGTGTAGCTATGGTTCGAATATGACCACGCCCCCAAGTGATTTCCCTGGTATTTCCCTGGTGGCCTTATGCCTATCAAGAGGTGTAGCTATGGTTCGAATACGACCAAGCCCCGAAGTGATTTCCCTGGTATTTCCCTGGTGGCCTTATGCCTATCAAGAGGTGTAGCTATGGTTCGAACACGACCAAGCCCCCAAGTGATTTCCCTGATGATTTCCCTGGCGGCCTTATGCCTACCAAGAGGTGTAGCTATGGTTTGAATACGACCAAGCCCCTCAAGTGATATTGTGAGTTGTGCTCAAGGGGCACCTATGTTTGAGATGTGCTTTTGCAACAGACTCTCTTTGGTCCCTTCAATTTTTCCTGAGAACTCGAACTTGCAAGAGATTATTGTTTTGAACGGAAATGCTTAAACCGGATATTGAGGGCTTCAAAGCTTTGTGGGAGACAGCTTTCCCTTGAGACGGATTTTAAATCGGAATCCTTCTTTTGAAGCCAGAAATTTTCTGACGGCCTTTAAATTTGCACCAATATGGCGGTTTAGGGTCCTGCATTAGATAACTTTGCAAGCCGGAGTAATTGCTCTTTTAAAGAAAGCAATATATAATATAAAAATATACTGGATGGATTTCACCTGATATGTTAGACCAGAAATTATCCACCGTGGAGTTGATCATCACCACGGTGAAGGTACGTATCCATCGAGCAGTACAGCACGGACAAGCGCTAGTGCAAAAGTGATATCAGGCGCGCCCCTTATGCGATACCTTTGTAATGAATAATGGTCCTACGAAAAATTATGACAGACCAGAGTAATTGTTCCTTTGAAAAAAACAATATTTTTTTAATAAACTTAGATGAATATCACCTGATGCATTGGGACGTCCGAGTTTCCTTGCGTAGTGCAGAGTTTAACCAGGACATACGAAGGACTAGCAGCAGCTTACTGCGCACCGCCTCTCTCCTGTGTACGCCTCAAATTGCGTCATGCAGATGAACCGATGAACGCTATCACTGCCCCTGTAGTACCTTTTTTTCAATCAGCAGAAGCAAATCGTGGAGCTGCTGTCATATCCATCAGCTGGGGGCGGCTCTCCTTTCTAAACCATGTTAACCTTGCACTGCAACCAGCAATTCATCACGAGGCCATAGTAGTAGCTAAAACAAGCGGTAACATGGGGGCGGCAGGCGCACAACTACAGTGGCATAAGCGAGGCGGGGGTGAAGTGAACCAAAGCGGCAGTGAAAGCAGGCTCGACGTGCAGGTTGACATCCCGGTTGCCGAAGGCGGATCACAGCCATGGGCAATTTTGGAGGCACCCCGGTAGGGGTGACTCAAAGCCGGGCGGGCTGATGTACAGTGGCAGGGGAAGTAGCCATAAGAACGGCGGCTCCGGCAACAGAGGCGGAGAGTGGCGGCAATTTAATTTGTAGCATGAGCGGTTTAGCACGGGGTGGAGCCAGCTTGGTGCAAACTGCAAAGGCGGAGCCAGCCCGGGAGGGTCACGCGCTGCTGGCGAGTGGGCGGGCAGAGCTGGGTTATAAAGCGGAGGCACGCTGCTGACCTAGCAGCGATGGTGGCAACTGCTGCGGCGAGGTGACGCGGCCACGGCGTCAAGTATCGTGGTTTAGCATGCTGCGAACCCGTGCAATGAGCCGTATAGCGCATCCATCCCCACCTTCCGGGTCGTGGCTGGAACTGTGGCCTTCAGGGGCTTGACCCGGCAGCGGTTCAACAACTGTGAGGCGGCGGTTTGATTCGACCGCAGCGGCAATTTGGCGAAGCAGATCAGCGAGCCGGCGAAGGGCTGGGAGGCACTGCGAGCCGGCGGCGGGTGGAGAGCATCTCCGCTTTCGAGCCGTCGAGAATTCGATGAATCCACGTTAGTTTCCCGTAGTAGCCCCCCTTCTTCTATCCAGATCAGTATTGAACCGGCGGCAGCATCCTAGGAAGCGCCATGAGCTCCTTGAAAGTGCGCGATGAAGACTGGCGATTTGAGGTAGGCCTGCGACAGATGGCAACTCGTCGGTGCGAGGCCAGGCCTGCAGCAGCTTGAAGCGGACAACGACGGTGAGCCTCAGTGGTGGAAACAGAGGTGGAGGTAAGCTACTCAGCTGGGTCGATTCAGTGCGGCCACGGCGGAGGCAGCGTGAGGTAGGAGTGATAGCCGCACGGCGGAAGCGTCGGCTCAAGGACACATTGCGAGTCGGAAGCACCGCCCCGTTGACCCACCATCTCCGCCAAACCGCTGTGGTCTTAAACCGCCACTACCACTCGCCGTGAGTGCATCCTAGAGCTGGGAGACGCGTGTGACGGCTTCTTCAACGGCGGCATTGTCCTCCCAGCAGAGTAAATGGACGTGGAGAGTGGTGGCAGCGAAGAATAGGTCGAGCTGGGGGCTCTCCAGATCGGCGGCGGCTGCAGCCTCGACAGACAGAGTAGTGAGAGCAGATGCGGCGTCCCCGTCGACTACGAGTGGGAAGGCAAGCTGCGCCTGGAAGTTACTGGTCCAGAGGAGGGCCGGGCCAGGGGGAGAAGCCCCGAGGCGGAGGCAGATGCAAGGAGGCTGAGGCTGCGGTAGAGCGCGTGCTTCTGCGACGGGAGGGCGCCGAGGAGGCCGTAGACGTTGGCGAGGAGGGAGTGCGCGAGCAGATTGAGGCACGGCGGAGCGGAGGGGAGCGGGTTGAGGACGAGCAGCGCGCGCTCGAGGTGGGCCTTGGCATTGGCGAGCCCCTTGGAGCGGGTGAGCAGTAGGCCAGCGAGGCACATCCGCGCGCGGGCCTCGACGAGCGGGAGGAGCGAGGCGGTGTGGGGCGGGCTGAGCGCCGAGTCCAGGCAGGAGGTGGCGGTGGTGAAGTCGCGGCGGCGCTCGGCCTCCTCCGCTAGCGTGAGGAGCCCATCCGCCGCCGACATGGATGGCCCGGCGGATGGCATGACCTAGGGCGCGGTGAGCGGCAATGGCATGGAGATTTGGGGGAATTGGGGTGGTAATCCGTCCTGCTGTGCGGCGATTCAACCAGGCAGCTCAAACGTGAAGGCGACAAGGCCGCGCTCGAGATGGAGGCGACCAGACGGCAGCGGTGACCAGTCATAGTGGAGCGGCGAGTTATGCTGAGGCGCTGCGGCGACTTAAGTAATGGTGGTGAATGCCTAGGCGGATTCAGGAGGCATCCCGAGGTCAAGGCAAGGCAGGCCCGGCTCGGAACGGCTTCGAGGGCAACTTAACACCGACCACAGCAGGGGGGATTTAGCAAAGAGGCAAGCCGACGCCGGCCACCAGTTAAAAACCATCTTGACTCCACGCATGACACAGAAAGTAGTAGTAATCAGCTCTTTTTGGCGACGATTTAGAGGCCGGGCCGTAGTTGATTTGACTCCCCTGTCACTTAAGTCAGTGACCGTACAAAATATTGACGCCTTCGGTTTCGACGGATCACCGGATCCTCGGTGACTTGGCCCTAATTTTCTCTTGAACTCAAAACCTCATCTGAGCATCAGATCTGACTGCTATTTTTGGACCGATAAACACGAAGCTGATGCAAATCTTTCCAAGCAGGTCTTTCTTCATCCGGAAAACTATGAACTTCTATATCCTTGAGAAAAGATCCCTCCAAGAACTCATCACCACCGTGCGCGGGCCCCACGGTGGGCGCCAACTGTCATGGAATTGTCACGGCAGATGTCCTTAGTGTCAGGACTTAGTCGTGAGGCCAACGCATCTATGTGGTAGCTTGAGAGGGGTTGAACGGAATCGAGAGACGCAACACACAAGACAAGGGTTTAGACAACTTCGGGCCTCGGGAAACATCATCGGGTAACAACCCTACATGATGTTTGTGGCTAGGTCTCATTATCATCATGAGGGAGTCGCCGTAAACCGGCTCTCCTAGTTATGCCTAACCCTTAAGATTCTCCCTCTCCCTCTTGGGGTTCCCTAACCCTCCTCATATAAGTTAAAGGGGCGGGTTACATGTAGAGTCCATCTCAGACTAAGACTTAAACTATTTGTACTTCCCTTCATGGGTTTCTTAACATCTTGGGCTTGTTAACCCCAGGCAACTCTATCTGCCGGGTTATGACTGTCTGTCGGGTTATGATTGTATGTCGGTTTATGATTGTCTGCCGGTTTATGATTGTCTGCCGGTTTACCATCTGGCTTAACATCTGTCGGGTTATCATCTGACTTAACACCTGCCGGGTTATCATCTGACTTAATACCTGCCGGGTTATCCTCTGACTTAACACCAGTCGGGTTATCATCTGACTTAACACCTGCCGGGTTATCATCTGGCTTAACACCTGCCGGGTTATCATCTGACTTAACACCTGCCAGGTTATTATCTGACTTAACACCTGCCGGGTTATCCTCTGACTTAACACCTGCCGGTTTACCAAGTCCCAGCCGGGTTATAACTCCGACCGGGTCATACCGCGGGGTATATGCCCGACAAGTTGTGAAACTATTCCACATTGTTTTAAATGAAGTCCAAACTCATAACTCAAATATTCGCCTCCACGATCAAATCGTAGAAACTTTATTTTCTTGTTACAATTATTCTCTACTTCACTCTAAAATTCTTTGAACTTTTCAAATGTTTCAAACTTGTTTTTCATTAAGTAGATATACCCATATCTGCTCAAATCATCTGTGAAGGTCAGAAAATAATGACACCCGCCACGTTCCTCAACACTCATCGGACCACATACATCGGTATGTATTATTTCCAATAAGTCATTGGCTCGCTCCATTGTTTCGGAGAACGGAGTTTTAGTCATCTTATCCATGTGGCGTTGTTCACAAGTATCAAATGATTCATAATCAAGTGATTCTAAAATCCCATCTGCATGGAGTTTCTTCATGCGCTTTACACCAATATGACCTAAACGGCAATGCCACAAATATGTTGCACTATCATTATCAACTTTGCATCTTTTGGCATCAATATTACGAATATGTGTATCACCATGCTACCTCTTGAGCACTGCGTTGGATTTCCCCGAAGAGGAGAGGATGATGCAGCAAAGTAGCGTAAGTATTTCCCTCGGTTTTTGAGAACCAAGGTATCAATCCAGTAGGAGACCACGCACAAGTCCTTCGTACCTACACAAAATGATAGCTCCTCGCAACCAATGCGATTAGGGGTTGTCAATCCCTTCACGATCACTTACGAGAGTGAGATCTGACAGAGATGATAAATAATATTTTTGGTATTTTTGGTATATAGATGCAAAGTGAAAAGTAAAAGGCAAAGTAAAAACAAGGCAAGTAATAGAGTAATGGAGATTGATATGATGAGAATAGACCCGAGGGCCATAGGTTTCACTAGTGGCTTCTCTTAAGAGCATAGATATTCTACGGTGGGTGAACAAATTACTGTTGAGAAATTGACAGAATTGAGCATAGTTATGAGTATATCTAGGTATGATCATGTATATAGGCATCACGTCCAAGACAAGTAGATCGAAACGATTCTGCATCTACTACTATTACTCCACTCATCGACCGCTATCCAGCATGCATCTAGAGTATTAAGTTAAAAACAGAGTAACGCCTTAAGCAAGATGACATGATGTAGAGGGATAAATTCATGCAATATGATAAAAACCCCATATTGTTATCCTCGATGGCAACAATGTTGGGGAACGTAGTAATTTCAAAAAAATTCCTACGCACACGCAAGATCATGGTGATGATATAGCAACGAGAGGGGAGAGTGTTTGTCCACGTACCCTCGTAGACCGTAAGCGGAAGCGTTATGACAACGCGGTTGATGTAGTCGTACGTCTTCACGATCCGACCGATCCAAGCACCGAACGTACGGAGCCTCCGAGTTCAGCACACGTTCAGCTCGATGACGTCCCTCGAACTCCGATCCAGCCGAGTGTCGAGGGAGAGTTCCGTCAGCACGACGGTGTGGTGACGATCTTGATGTTCTACCGGCGCAGGGCTTCGCCTAAGCTTCGCGATGATATGACCGAGGTGGAATATGGTGGAAGGGGGCACCGCACACGGCTATGGAACGATCTGTAGATCAACTTGTGTCTATGGGGTGCCCCCTGCCCCCGTATATAAAGGAGGGAGGGGGGAGGCCGGCCGGCCCCCTTGGGGCGCGCCAAGGGAGGAGGAATCCTCCTCCTAGTAGGAGTGGGATTCCCCCTTTCCTACTCCTACTAGGAGGGGGAAGGAAGGAGGAGAGGGGGGAAAGGAAAGGGGGGCGCCGCCCCCCCCCCCTCCTAGTCCAATTCGGACTGGAGGGAGAGGGGGCGCGCGGCCCACCCTGGCCGCCCCTCTCTCTTCCCACCTAGGCCCATGTGGCCCATTAACTCTCCCGGGGGGTTTCGGTAACCCCCCCGGCACTCCGGTTTTCTCCGAAAACTTTCGGAACCTTTCCGGTGTCCGAATATAGTCGTCCAATATATCAATCTTTATGTCTCGACCATTCCGAGACTCCTTGTCATGTCCGTGATCACATCCGGGACTCCGAACAAACTTCGGTACATCAAAACTTATAAACTCATAATAAAACTGTCATCGAAACGTTAAGCGTGCGGACCCTACGGGTTCGAGAACTATGTAGTCATGACCTAAAACCATTCTAGTTCATTGGCCAATAGCGGGACCTGGATGCCCATATTGGTTCCTACATATTCTACGAAGATCTTTATCGGTCAAACCGCATAACAACATACTTTGTTCCCTTTGTCATCGGTATGTTACTTGCCCGAGATTTGATCGTCGGTATCCAATACCTAGTTCAATCTCGTTACCGGCAAGTCTCTTTACTCGTTCTGTAATACGTCATCTCATAACTAACTCATTAGTTACATGCTTGCAAGGCTTAGGTGATGAGTATTACCGAGAGGGCCCAGAGATACCTCTCCGACAATCAGAGTGACAAATCCTAATCTCGAATTATGCCAACTCAACATGAACCTTCGGAAACACCTGTAGAGCACCTTTATAATCACCCAGTTACGTTGTGACGTTTGGTAGCACACAAACTGTTCTTCCGGTACACGGGAGTTGCACAATCTCATAGTTGCAGGAACTTTGTATAAGTCATGAAGAAAGCAATAGCAGTATACTAAACGATCAAGTGCTAGGCTAACAGAATGGGTCATGTCAATCACATCATTCTTCTAATGATGTGATCCCACTAATCAAATGACAACACATGTCTATGGTCAGGAAACATAACCATCTTTGATTAATGAGCTAGTCAAGTAGAGGCATACTAGTGACTATAGTTTTGTCTATGTATTCACACATGTATCAAGTTTCCGGTTAATACAATTCTAGCATGAATAATAAACATTTATCATGATATGAGGAAATAAATAATAACTTTATTATTGCCTCTAGGGCATATTTCCTTCAGTCTCCCACTTGCACTAGAGTCAATAATCTAGATTACATAGTAATGATTCTAACACCCATGGAGTCTTGGTGCTGATCATGTTTTGCTCGTGAGAGAGGCTTAGTCAACGGGTCTGCAACATTCAGATCCGTATGTATCTTGCAAATCTCTATGTCCCCCACTTGGACTTGGTCCCAAATGGAATTGAAGCGTCTCTTGATGTGCTTGGTCCTCTTGTGAAATCTGGATTCCTTTGCTAAAGCAATTGCACCAGTATTGTCACAGAAGATCTTCATTGGTCCCGATGCACTAGGTATTACACCTAGATCGGAAATGAACCCCTTCATCCAGACTCCTTCATTTGCTGCTTCAGAAGCAGCTATGTACTCCGCTTCACATGTAGATCCTGCCACGACGCTTTGTTTAGAACGACACCAACTTACAGCTCCACCGTTTAATATAAACACGTATCCGGTTTGCGATTTAGAATCGTCCGGATCAGTGTCAAAGCTTGCATCGACGTAACCATTTACGACTAGCTCTTTGTCACCTCCA